TATGGAGTCCAACTTTTTCTGGTGGCTTTTAAAAAAAACTAAACTGTACAAGAACAGCTATGTACTTAGATTTTATAACATATTTTAAAACATGGATACAGCTTTACAACAAGTATTGCTGTAGAGTATTTTATGGACCTTTGGGAAATATTTAAAAGACTGTATTAGAATTTGCATACGTATATCTATTGTGTTTGTAAATTGCCCTGATGGTGAGTAGTTTCTGTGATTGGTCATCTCATCACAAATGCTGCAGCAGTATCCCAGTTTCCTGTCCTAGTTATTTAAAGTGGGAAGAGTCAGCATGGATAGCCCCATGCTGTTGTTTCCTGGTTGCAAAGCAGAGTGCTGTGCCATGATGGTTTTCTGCTCTGTGTCTCAGGAAAGGAGATCTCTAGTTGAAAATGTCTCTGGCATAGGAGGATTAGGCCAATAAGAGTAAGGCCCCAGGTGAATAGTGGCGATCAGAAAATGCTCTCTGAAAAGTGTTTGCAAGGCTCAGTTAGCCTAAGATGGTATCCAGTGCAGATATGATGATTTTATGTTATTTATAGTCTACCTTTCTCACAGGGACTCAAGGCAGATTACACATAGTAAAGTCAGTACAGTCAACAAAATGGGACATTCGGTAGTCTGGAACCATCAGAAAGAACTGAAGCAGAGCATAAGTATTGACATGACTCAATAAGTGACACAGAGATTACATAACCGGATCATACTACAATAAGCTATACACAGCGATAGAGACCCCAGTACCCATAATTTATCCAGGTATGTTTGTGAACCAATTTGTACAGGAAAAGAAGAAAAGCCCTCTTGAATATTTCAGTTTTGCATAGTTTGTGGACAGCCAGGAGAGTGGGAGCTTTCTTGATCTCCTTGGGATAATGATTTTAGATTCTCTTATGTATCTTCCTAAGTGAAGTGCACCATCATTATTAAAAGTCTGCTCCGCGTGTCTCAAAACTTGGTAGTCTGAAGTAGATGTTTTCACCCAGTCTTCCCACCCAACTTCACAGTATGATTAATAATTCTGGAGTATTGTCATTGCTACTATATTTTGATTTTCTTAAGTTGTTTACATCAGTTCCTTGTAGCTGTAGATTTTAGTTATTTATTAATTTTGTTTTTTCTCTATGTATGCTGTAATCCTTTCAGCTAGCATGAGAAATACACATTTAATAACTGATTTAGTTAATTGTGGATAAACCACAGTTTTGTTAAAAAATGCCTAGCCAGGGCGTGAAAACCATCCCAACTAAATAGAGCAGCACATAGAGTCAGTTCTAGCAGTATGAACTCAGAATAGACATGAACACAATTCATGAGCTCAGAATAGATATTAACATAATTCAAGATAATAGCATAAATTTAATTGTTTTGGTTCTCCAGAGTGTTTCAGCAGTTGGTGTGAGGCTGTAGACCAAGTCCTCTGCCTTTTCTCCATTCTGAATATAGTCAGGGAAGTCCTCACAGCCTAAACTTCTGTGTATTAACCACCTGTAGACCCCCCTCCCCCAGCAAATGCAACAGCAGCCTCTTGCATTGAGTGTAAACTGTCAAGCTGACTGTGGAAAACATCTGCATGGCTCTATTCCAAAGCGACAAGGCTGCTGGGATCTTCATGTGGTTCAGTCAGACTTCCTTCAACTGCCTGGGGCTTCCCTGAGCCTGGCTAAATTTTTGAACTGTGTTGTGCTGTATTGTATCAAATACATTAGGAACTAGACTACCCTCCCACCTGGATTAAAGATGTTAATATTAGTGTTGCAGTTCATGAGTGTTTGGTTGTTTAAATAGGTTTTTTGGGATAGGGGGATGTCATCTTTCATGGAATTCTACTCTTTTGTTGACTTTTGGAAGGACAGAAATAGCCTGTCAGATTGCAAATTTTAGAAAAATAGTGTCACGTAGGGATGGTGCAAAGTGTGTGTGGGGGAACCTCCCCTGGGAGAAGCAAGGTTGGTTGTGACCTCAGTGGTGGCAATCAATGGACTGGAGCTTATCACGGCCTGACCAATAGAGCTGGTGGAAAAATTCACATAAGTTGGTGAATCAGAGCTTTCCTCACTCCTCCCTTTCCCAAGCAGACTGCTGTTTGCTCTTGAAATCCTCCTGTAGGATTGGGAGACCCTGATTAATTAAATGCATAACAGTACAGGGCGATGCTATGATGAGGGGAAATCAACCACTTCCTTCTCCTTCTTATGCAAGTGGCTTGTGTCTGTGAATGAGGGAGAAGTGATTTTACCCGATTCCTCCTTGTTGCTGCAGCATTCCATGCTTGTATGCTTGTTCTTTGTTAGGTTTTCTTGATCATTCATAAGGACTTTCAGAGCAGCAGCAAGCTGCTCTTTAGAATGGGTAGGCAGAGAAAAATCCCCTCCACCAACTCAGTCTGTGAACTTGGGCATTAGAACCAGGGGTCATTTCGTAGAAAAAGAGCTAAGGGAACTCATTAGCATAACTCATTAGCATATGCCATATACCCCCTGACATCAGGGCCCCGGCGGTGGACCTGCAAGGCCAGTGGGAGTGCGAGGAAGCCCCGCCAAGGCCCTCCCTGGCCCCAGGCAGGCAGGGGTGGGGAGAGACGGGGAGGAAGCAACTTACCCTCCCTCTTCTCCTGCCTCCTCCTGGCTGAATGAGGGCTGGAAGCGGGGTGGCCGGAAACAGGGGGCGGGGCTTCGTCATGTGCCCCGCCCCCCTGCACCTCACCCGGGGGAACTGCGATCCCCCGTGTTCCCCCCCCCCCCGAAATGACCTCTGATTAGAACTAACCCATTGGCTTGGCAGCTTGTCTTGTATTGTCTGACTTTCTCGGGGTGTTTTAAGGGACAGTTGATCAGTGAACTTCAAAGATAAATTTTGTGGTGTCTTAAGCTAGCTGGATGTCCTGTTGTATTGCAAATCATTCTCTCTAATCCTAAATATATGGGAGATGGCTGTGGTTATTCAGTGGTGAGAGATATTTTATATATAGTCAGAGGTTGTTACTTTATATTGCCAGGGATGAGCCTGAGCACTGAAAGTAAGTTCTAATACTAAGGTCCTATGGACCATATTAGTTTCCCTTGTGGCTGAAATAATTAGTCCTTTCACCTCTAGGAGAACATGACTTCATTTATGAGAAATTAAATGGCTTTTAAAGGAAAATGAATCTAAATGCAACTGGAAGTAGTGTCCCCTGCTGTTTTTAAAATGTTGTATTTTTGTAAGGCTGCCACTCGAAGAAATCTTGATTGATTAATTTTATTAAATTTACTCAGTTAAAAGAGATAAATTCCGTTTAAATTTGGATCTCAGTAAAGCAATGACTTAGTAAAAAATCAACCAAATTTCCCCCCACTTTGTTTCTTTACATGCATGCATGTGATGGAGCAGGTACCATCTCCAAAAAAGCATTCCCTTCAGTGCATGAGAGAAGAAATGCCTCTTCTGAGAAAAATCTTGTCACACAAGGATCTGTAAAGTACTTATCAGTGTTGGCCCACTGCCTCACTGACATTGGGAGTCCATGGAGTAGCCTTGCAGTGACTTACTTCATTCCTCCAGGGTTGGGGAGAGAGGGTGTTGCCCCGCCACCCTTTGGTGTGTGGGGTTCCCCAAGGGGCAGTCCTCTCTCCTATGTTGTTTAACATATATATGCGCCCTCATGCCCAGCTGATGCGGAGTTTCTGGCTGGGTTGTTGCCAGTATGCTGATGACATCCAGCTGTACCTGTTGATGGACGGACGGCTACTGCCCCATCTAATTTGGCTGAGGGATTGGAGGCCATGGCTGGATGCTTCAGAGAGGGCTGACTGAGACTGAACCCATCAAAGATAGATGGGAGGGAGCAACCCGAGGTTTGGGTGTCAACTCCCAATGATCAACGGCACACTGCTAACACCGGTGCTGATCGTCAAGAGCTTAGACATGCTCCTGGACTCCTCTTTATCAATGGAGGCTCAGGTAGCACATGTTGTCAGGCTGCATTCCTCCAACTTTGCCAGGTCAGACAACTTGCCCCTACCTCTGTAGCCCTGACCTTGCCACAGTGATCCATGCAACGGTCACCTCAAGACTGGATTATTGTAACTTGCTCTATGTAGGGCTACCCTTGAGGCTGATCCAGGAATTACAGCTTGTCCAGAATGCAATGGCACACGTACTTATGGGTACCCCAATGACTGTACAGATTCGACCTGTGCTTGACCAGCTGCACTGGCTCCAAGATGAGTACTGAGTCCACTTCAGGGTTTGTTTTTGACCTTTAAGACCCTTAATGGTCAGAGACCAGTGTACCTGTAGAACCACCTCACCTGGTGCACCCCCTGAAGAACTTTATGCTCAGGAGACCAAAGCTTTCTGGTGATCCCTGGCCCAAAAGATTTCTGGCTGTCCTCAACCAGGGCCTGGCCTGGTGGAACTTTCTACCTAGTAACATGTGTGCCCTTCGGGACATTGCTCAGTTCCACAGGGCGTGTAAAACAATGTTCCACTAGGCCTACAGTTGAGGACAGCGGTGGTTCTTTACCATGGCTCCCACTTGGCCTTACCAATCCCAGTATGTGATCCACCCTATTGAGGGAGCGAAATTTGGTGTAGTGGTTAACTGTGTGGACTGTAATCTGGGAGAACTGGGTTTGATTCCCGACTCCTCCACTTGCAGCTGCTGGATGACCTTGGGCAAGCCATAGTTCTGAGAAGAGCTGTCCTTGAAAGAGCAGTTCTTGAAAGAGCTCTCTCAGCCCCACCTACCTCACAAGGTGTCTGTTGTGGGGAGGGGAAGGGAAAGGCGTTTGTACCGCTCTGAGACTCCGAGTGAAGGGCGGGGTATAAATCTCCTCCTCCTTCTCCTATCTACTCCATCTAATATCTGTAGGAATTATATTGTTTTATCTGTTTTAACCATTTGTCATTTTCTGTTTATAGTTTTTAACATAAATAATATAGTACTAAATGATGGCAGAGAAAGGTTTAGCAACTATTTAGAACTTTTTCTTCTTCTGTTGCAGGGAGGCTGGAAACATCAAAACTGGATTAGAACATCTGGTAAGTTCTAATTTTCTCTTGAATATTTGCATCATCTTTGATATCTGCATTCCAATTGAACACTTTTGAATGAGCTTTGAATACCTTGAATTGAGAAAGTCAACTATTTCCCAGAGGGTCAGCTTACTGTTATTATGTGAAGGCACTTACATTTTCATTTATCTTATATTTCAAGGGATTTTAATTTTTTTAATTACTTTTTTTGATGTCGAGATGAAATAAAATTGGCTATAATCCTTGGATTGATGATTGCCTTAATTATAAACAAAAAAGTTGTTTGGTGTTGGATTTTTGGCGCATTCTGATCTAAAAACAGCAAACTTGTGTTTTAAAACCCAGTTCAAATATTGCATGCATAAATATGGCATTTCAGTAATTTGAAATCTCTGAAAGAAGTAAACAGCTTTGTTTTAGCATTGCCTTTATGTTATGAATTACATACTCATTTAAATTCCATTCAGTTCTAAGATATAAAATAATATTCTGAATGCAGAATAATTGTCTTAAGTAAGCATATTTGAATTCTATGTGAAAATATGGGGTTCTTCACCTTAAATACAGTGCTCTCATAAGCCTGATATATATCAAATATATATATATCATTAGTTTTGAGAACATTAAGCAGTTTGCTATAAAGCTATGTCATAGATCCAAAGAACAGTAGGCAGAGTTCACCAGTGTAATGGGTTTTGTTTCAGTTTCACACTGAAGCCACTTGTCCCCTTCCCCATGCACCAAAAATCTGCTTCTGAGGGTTAGGGAGTGGGTTTACAGTTGCCAGCCTCCAGGTAGTGCCTGGAGAGCTCCTGGAATCATGACTGATCTCCAGATGACATCAGTTGCCCTGGAGAAAATGGCTGCTCTGGAGGGTAAACTAATCTATGGCATTATACTCAGATGTGGTCCCTCCCTTCCCCAAACTCTTCCTCAGACTTCAGCCCCAAAGCTCCAGGAATTTCAAAGCCCAGAGCTAGCAACCGTAAGTGGCTTGCATTGTAGAGTACAAGTGAAAGGAGGTGTTTAAATCAAAACCTTTTAGTTGAATTTTTTTTTGTATGTATTGCAATTAATTACTCAAATTCATTCTTATAACTGTAAAATAAGTAACCCAGTTATCCTGATGTGATGTGTTTTGCCACAAAATGTTCTTCAAATGAAAACTGCTGCTGCTCATTGAAAGAGAAAGAGAGAGAGAGAGAGAGAGAGAGAGAGAGAGAGAGAGAGAGAGAGAGAGAGAGAGAGAGAGAGGTATTGTTATGCACTGGTGATAAGGTACAACTGAGTGTAAATCCATCTTGCCTGTTGTCTTCCCTTCTGTTAACCAGCATGTGGTTACATACTTTTATTCATGCCTTGAATTAGCATAGGAAGTTGAATATCTGAAGGTGGGTGAAGTGAATGCAGTTCAAGTGCTTTAAAGTTTGTACAGCAAGCCGTAGCACAGCACATAGAGGTGCCACAGTGCCTGTGGAGCTCTGGCAAATTACAGGTGATTATCATGTAAACACTTGTAAAATAAGATTAACACACTGTGGGTTACTGAAAAAAATGTTCTTGTTTTTTCTGGAGCTGACCTTGGCTGCTGAAGAATCCATCCGTTCCCTAGGTTGTTGTATATAATTTTAGTTTATTTTCCTTTTATAAAAAAATCAGAAAATTGTGTACCTTCAAATGCCATTGTGGTACAGGATGGCTAAGGTCCAACAGCCTGTGACTGCATCCTACTATAGCTTGGAGCAAAGTCTGCCTGCTACCTGGGCTTCTGGGAACCCCAGGCCAAAGAAACAGACCATCTGCTGCTACCCATTCTGCCCTTGTTATTAGGAAACTTCTAAGGCCCCCTCTCCACAACTGGAGCTCTGTTCTTCTCTCTTGATTGACAGGGTATTTCTGGAGTGAGGTCGTATCCCTTTGAGGTCAGCCCAGGCTGCACCCTAGGGAGACATCTGGAAGGAGGCAAGGCTGGGGGAGGAGGAGCCTTGAAAGGAAGTAAAGAGTCCAAGGGAGATGGGTTTGGGTCAGGAACCAAACAAGGAGCTCTCACTGCCAGAGCAAAGACTGATTACCTGATAAAAGCAGTGCTTCTAACAGTCTTTATAAATAGTTAAATAAGTCAAGATTTTAGTTTGAGCATCACACCTGCAAAATCTTGGCCTGTGCATATATGGAAGGTCATAGGTTAGCTGTCTCCCTGCCCCTGGGGCGTTGTCACAGGGAATGAGTTTATTTTAGGAAGATGTTCTTCATGCAGGCCCTTAGCTACAGTGGGGCATCTTGGGGCTAGGCCCCCTGAATTACTGGCAAGGCCCCACGACCTCCCATCCACTCCAGGGTCCCTGAGTGGTGGCAGGTGCGGGGAAGGAGCCGGGTGTTCTTTTAATTTGATTAGCCAGTGCCCCCTAAGAAATTTAAATGCCCCCCAACTTTAAAAATCCTGGCTATGGGCCTGTCTTTATGTGGGTCTTGCTGAAGAGTTGGTTTTCTGTCACAAGCAGTGTAGGAAGACCACCTTTAACTCGTGTCTGTGGAGGATTTCAGGCTGTGAAAAAAGTTGTATAGACAAATGCTTGGGAACATTGCATTTTAGTGAAGTACTAAGAATGAAAAGACTTTCTCCAGTGAAACTGAGTGACAGATTAACTGCAGTATCATTTAACTCCAGTAGAGGTTCCTGCTTAGTTCTGTGAACTGTAAAACTTAATAAATGGAAGAAATTTTGGAATGCAAATTGTACTCTGTTTTTTCTTTTCGTTAATAACCAGAGTCTAACCTATAGCTTTTTCCAACTGGAAAGAATGATGTCTCCTTCTCTGACATTGCAGAACAGTGACCTGCTTGTCCTTGTGGTCAAGAAAAGAAGTCTGACCATTAAGTGTTGAATTGCAGACTGTCATTAATAGCTTGTTAGCCCATCAGTAGTTTGTGTATAGTTACTGGCTTTCAGCAATGTAGACATTCCCTTGTTGTAACATGTTAATCAATAACCATCAACAGGGGCTGCTAAAAGCACTTTTTAAAGCTGGCTAGCATGTTTCATGTGTCTTTGCCAGTACAATTATTCATGATCTTCATTGAGAGAGGATTAGCTAGACTTTCCCAACCCATGTACTCATGGTCAAATAAGCTCATGTGCAGACTTCATATATGACAGTACATTGTGTATGTAGTGAAAATATAGCATGAAATGCTGCATAGTTTTATTTGCAAAAAGCCAATATAGAACAATTTTGCATTAAAAGTATTAAAATGTTTGTCTTAAACTTTAATTTTACTTTACCTTTAGAAGTAGCCTTGTTTACCATATAGTGCAATCCATTAATTCACTGGGCTTACTGTAATAAATTTGTGTAGCAACGCTCTGTCAGCATTCCTTCTCACATTGGAAACAGGACTGTGTTCAGATGTATCATCAATATGTCTGATTCTCAACATGGTCAGATCTGTAGATACTTAAACCCAGAGATTTGCACCACGAATGGACAAGACGTGAAAAACTCCATGTTCACAGAAAAATCTGAAATCTGAACAAACATTGGGGAGGTTAACCCTTGAAGTAATAGAAGCAGCACATGTAGCTTTAAGAGAGGAATGCCCTTAGTGGCTGTTGCTAGGCAACCACAACAGTACTGCCAGCCTTCAAGCCTTGGTTTCTGTCAGTAAAATGTGGGGAAGGGGACAGGACCCTTTCCAGGGCTACTTTGGCATTTGAAGGAGGGCTCATTGGAGCCAGGTCCACCAGCAATCACCAGGCAACCATGTGACTTCCATGACTCACTCATGCCTGGCTGCTTGCTACTGTTAAACAGCAGCCACCCCAGAAATGCCAGTGTTGTGTAGTGGTTAGAGTTTCAGACTAGGATCTGGGAGACCCAAATTCAAATTCCCACTTTGCCATAGAAGCTTACTGGGTAATCTTGCCAGTCACTCAGCCTAATCTACTTCACAAGGTTGTTATGATAATAAATGTGAGGAGAGGAGAATGATGTAAGCTGCTTTGGATCCCCATTGTGGAGAAAGGTGGGGCATAAATGAAATAAATTATTAGTAAATATAGCTGAAGGAGTGGGGTCAGATTAAAAGGTAGGTTGCTTGTGGGAAGGAAGCAGGGAAAGGTATGGATATGGGGGTTGCCAGGAGGATGGAAAGAAGAAATATTGTGTGGAAGGAACAAATACAGGGGAAAATGTATCCCCAGTAAGTTCTTGCAGGTTTTCCACCTTGCAACTGAGCCTAGCCTGGTGGCCAGCACTTTGTAACTGGGTTTTCCAGGTAGAAGCTGCTAAGGGTAGGGAATGAAGGAAAACTGAAGGGAGGGCAGCAGAAAGGTAGGTTAGCTGGTGGGAGGGAAGGAGAGAATGAATCAGGACAAGGGGAGAGGCTATGGGGGCTTCAGGGAAGTGATAGAGGAAATAGTGGAGAAGAGGGAAATGAGATGCTCCCCATAAATCCCTGAGGGTTCTCTGCTTGCGACTACTATTAAGGAAAAATGTGCTCAAAACTGGCATGTTGCCAGGCTTCTGTGTATGTCTCACACCTTCCACACCTTCTTTCTTGTGCTGAGCATTGCATTTGAGCATTGACTCTAGCAATTCATGTAATATGAATGCAGGTGTGTGGGTTAAGCAGAGAATCCCACCTAGTGATAGAAAAATAACTCAGGATAACCCATATAGCTGCATTTGTATGGCATGGATAGAGTTAGTAGTGTAATTACAGTTCTCAGCACAAGAGAGAAGGGGGATGAGCAAGGAGTACCTGTGAGCACAGCAACAAACTGGCTTCATGCCTGTTTTTCCTATGTATGACAATGCAGCCTAACATAAGTCTGATCATGGGGTCTTTGCTCTTTGATTTTAGTCATGTGTGATGGACTGCACTTTTTAAAAGCTTAGAAGTGCTGGACAAACAGTTGAAGGACTGTGAAAGGTTAATTCTTCACAGAAACAGAGAGCCTTGAGTGACAGGCTGCTCCAAGCAATCTGGTTTGTTAGCATCAGCTG